GCTGGATGAGGTTTTGTTGATGGAATTGATAGCATTGAGGATTATGTTACTGGCTATAATTTATATTTGATGGTCTAAACAAATGGGCAGATTTAATATGGAAGCCTCACGGTAAAATTTAAGGAGTTGTAATATTTCTGAGTTAATAGGGGCAAGTTTATTGCCTAAAAATACTAATTTATCTTAATGTAATTGTTCTTATATCTATGTTATAATAAATGTTTCTTATTGGCATCCATTGGTGCTTATTAGTGTTCCTTAGGCGAAATACTTAATGGAAGAAATGGCTACTTATCGGAGGCGGCCCTTAGACGAAAAGATTGGGCGAATATAGTCAAAATGACTTCTTATTGTAGCTCCTTACGCAAAAAGCTATAGGTAAATTTTAGGCAAAATAATTACTTTGGCGTTTATTGGGTCTTCTTCAAAATAGCGATATGCGAAAAAGCTAAAAATGTAGTCAAAATGACTTCTTATGTAGCTCCTTACGCAAAAAGCTATAGGTAAATTTAGGCAAAATAATTACTTTGGCGTTTATTGGGTCTTCTTCAAAATAGCGATATGCGAAAAAGCTAAAAATGCGCTTTTTAGCGATAAATAGGCTAGATGTTTTAGGTGAAAGGTATATAGGTGAAAAATATTAGCAAAATGTCTAGAGTTGAATAGCCGGTATACTATTTAAGGAACCCATTTTAAGAATTATAAGGATTTCAAAGTTAAAAAATAAACTTTTATAAAACTATTTAAATTTTACCAGTAAAAATTTTTATTCATTTTATTTATAGATTCTGTTTACGGTATTTTTATATTTTTAATATGTTTACTTATAACATGAATGATAATAATCAAAATTTCATATATTTATATAATAAATTATCAATTAATAAACCATTCATATAAAATCATAAAATAAATGCCAAATATTTGTTTATGAGATAAATGCATCAATTAAAACAATATTGTTAATTCAAACGTTTATATTATTATTTAAAAAACTGATTTATTGATTTTTCTCAATCTTTTAAATATAACAAAAATAAATCTAATGTACCTCTATTCAATTTAATTAATGTCAAATTTGTTTACTATCATTATAAATTTAATAATATTTTTAAAGCCAATCATATTCTATTTTTTTTGGTTTACATTTGTTTATAATTTGAATTCTACTGATTATTCAATTTCATGAGAAATTATTTAAAAGATTCATAAATACTTTTTGTACATCATTTAAATAAATATAATTAATAACCAAAACATGTTATGCAATTGCGTAAATGACTACAACTATAAGAGATCCAATTAATAAAACAGAGTTAATTAAGCTTAAAAATGGTTATTGTGATCATTTGTCTTACATAAAAGCCTTTACGTGTCTCCCCAAAATTTTTTCTGATTTGGCGGCGAACGTTTTTAAGGAAATTTTCAGCCAAATCACTATATATTGTATAAGGGTAGCAAATAATTGAGACGAATATGTAGATTTATGTATTTGGGTATCTTCAAATTTTGCGCGTTATTCATAGCGTCTCTGTTAATGTTGGAGGAGGTGTGTCCGTTCCCATATGAAAAATTTGCCTTAAACTAAAAACATAAACATTTAAATATAACAAATATATTTTTTGAAAAGTTCATATAAAAACTATTATAAAATTGAATTCTATTTAATTTACTCAGAATATGTATATTATCATTTTCAAAATCTTCAAGTTCTAATTTAAAGAAATACTAGATTGTAATATTTATCATAATCGGCTCATATTTAGCCATTTAACAACTATTAAGTTATAATGATACATAAAGTAAAAATCATTAAATATTATATACTAGGCCAATTCAAAATGCATTGAATCGATAAATTTTTTATTCTCATATATTGTCGAAGTTATTTATTACGAATTTAACAAAAAATTATTATACTGATGATAAAAAGTATGTCTTCCAGTTATAAGCAAAATTAAAAAGTATAATTTAATTTATAATGCCAAGCCAATTTTAAGACAAAGAGTTTTTCTCATATTTTTTTAGAAAATCCGATTTTATGACAACAAATTAGTTCCAACTGAGAAAAGCTTTTCACAGGCAGTTGATGTTCCTTTTATAGATAGGTAATTCCTTACAATTTGTGAGAGTATGTGGATCCAGTATTAATTTGGCTTCCACCACATTAAAGAGTCAGTATAACTCTTTGCTAATAAAAATCTATTAGCACATGAATATTATTTTGTTTAAAAACAATACCTAGACTGTTTTTTTGAATTTCATCATTATTTGTTTGACGATTATTATTATCAGCTTTAAAAATAAAATAGTATTTATTTAAATAGGGGTAAATTACATATCTGAATAGCTATTAATCTTTTTAAATTTGCCCGTTAACTTTGATATAATCAACAAATATTGATTTAAAAAAGCCTGGTATCTAGTATTGTGGCTATAATTGCATCATTACCAGTTAAATTATAATATTCCAATAATCTATCTGCTTATTTAAAACCATTTCAAAAAAATTTATGGAAATCAGGTATTCCATTTTTTAGATGGTTAAGAATTAGAATGTAATAAGGTATAACCAAATTCTCCTTCAATCATTTGATAGGTGCTATTCCACCTTTATAATCTAATTATGGTTTTAAAAAATTAGGGGGAAAGTGTAGTGAACTACATATAATATAAAATAAAATTAGTTTGGGGAATTACGAATCATGCTGATTATGGTTCTCAGTTTTAAAAAAGAAGGAGTCAAAATTTTTAAAATTTCCTTTAAATTTATTACATGGGTAAAGAATAGAATGTTCCCTATTCCATATCAATAAATATTTTAAAGTAATCAATAAAGATTTTATTATTAGGTGCATTATTCAATGTTATTGTAAAATTTTTATTCTGTAGATTTAAATATTTTCAATTATTTTAACAAATATTTTAAATAATTTTCTCTCGAATGTATTTCGATTGAAAGAGAATCCAAAAGTATGTTATTTATTTTAAAACTTTCATTAACAAAATGGGCTGTTAACCCTAAAAAGGAACTTGTGTGGGGCATAGATATAAAAAAGCTAATATCTTTTATAATTTATTTATTTTTAGTTTGAAAATTATAATCTAATCACTTTAATTTTTTATTTTTATCATGGGTTTTTTATTCATTGTTGAACACATTTTAAAGTTATATAAATTTTTATATTTTATATAAATTAATATGATATATAAGCTATTATATATTAAAAAATTAAAGAAAAAGTTTTGGAAGAACGTGAACGCGTTTTTTTTTTTAAAGTTAACGATGAACGTAAACGCGTTATATTTTTATCAATGTTGACAGCGAACCTGGTCAATTTTTCTGAAAATGTTATAGCACTAATAAATACCATTTTGAGTTAGAATAAAATAAAAACGAAAATATAAAAAATATATATAAATATCAGTTTGCAAAATATCACAGTAAATAAAGTAAAAACGAAAATATAAAACAATGTAAATTCTAATTTCCAACGGATAACAACAAAATAAGGTAAATATGAAATATATATATATACTCATTTGGTACTAAAATTAAAAACAAAGGCTAAAAAAATTTTCTTAAAGAATTTATAATGTTTAATCGTAAACTATAATTTAATAAACCTTTTAGTTTTATTACAAAACTTGATATCAGATCATGCTGCATCGGTGTCATATTAAAATTAGTTATATGATCATATGTATTATAAATAAAAAAAATGAATATTATAAAAGTAGAGAAAAAGTTAGAAATTAATGAAATAGAAAAGGAATTCTTGAAATCAGAAATTTTAAAAATAAATTGATAGAAATGTGTGACGACAGTATGATTAGCAATATAAAAAAGTATGGAATAAAATTAAAATAATTATGAACATATATCAAAGAGAAAAGGAAAAAAATCGTGAATATTAGAGAGATAAATAAAATGAATAATGAAAATGCATATTATGCCTAGAGAAAATTTTAGAGGAGAAAATTAGAATTTAAAGGAAATTACTTGCACAAATGGAAATAATAGGGAGTATAATGAACAAGGTCAGTATTACCTAAAAATTTCGAAATGAAATGCATAACTATAGTAATAATAATTTTGAATATAGATAATATATAAATAATTGTAAGATAAAAGAGAGAACATTTAGAGAAATATATATAAAAAGGAAAAAATAGTATAATGAAGCATAAGAGGATGGGTTAATAAGAGATTCGCACCGAATAAATCACAACCGATGTCTTATAATTAAAAAATTTTGAAGCATGATAATTGCTATGTGATAGCATTAAAAATATGCAAAGTATTTCTATGCAAAAAAATTTAGGACACACACAAGATAAATGTCGGTATATCATAACCAATAAATAAGCATTTCCTTAGATTAATTAAATAGAATCGGAAGAAAATATGCCAAAGGTATATGATGATATAATACCAGGTCGGAGGACGGTATGGGTCTAATATTATATTTTCTAGCGGGTCTGAGTTTTTTAATTATTTTAATAGGGGTCTGGAGTGAGATTTAAATACAAAAAATAGGCCCGGGTCTTTTAAAAAATTTTTACTGCCCACCTAGGCTGTGAATCAAGAAATTATGGTTCATGAAGGCCTCTGACCACAATACGGTAGAGATGGACAAAAGACGACAGATAGACATAAACATCTTTTTGTTATTTATTCCAGATATATTCAAATTTAATTAAATATTGATTCTGTTATATTGTTTGGCCCCTGATTGTATCCTTAAAAAAGGGAGGCGGGCGGGGCATGTTCTGAATGTTAGTCTTTTAATTATTTTTATAAGTAAAATCCTTCTTTGTTCACTATATAAAAAATATTTATAGATATTATTGATAAATTTTGTTTTGGAAATACGATCAAAATAAAGAAATGGATAGAAATCAAAATATATCAAGTGCAAATTCGGAATTATTTAATAGATTAACATTATTAAATTGTAGTTTATTATTTATTAATAAATTAATTATTTTCATATTAGGTTTGAAATCAGCTATATTGATTCAGCGATGGTATCGAAGGTACTTAGCTAGACTAGAAGCAAGAAGAAGATGCACATGGCAAATTTTTCAAAAGTTAGAATATGTTGGAGAGCAGGATCAACTTAAGGTAATCTTTATCTTAAAATTAAATTTACATTTTATTTTAGCTTTATCAATTTTTCAAGGATATTTTAGAACAAAAACCTATGCTTGAAACATATAATGCCAATAAAATTTCAGGACAAGCATTTACAAATACTATTCGAGATAAAATAGGTGAATATAATATTATTAAAAATATAATTTTATACCTTTGTACAAATTATTTTCAGTTATGGATGTAATTTATTTTCCAGTATACCATTGATTTTATCTTAATTCTAAACAGTTTTAAATTTTGGTATCATTTTGAAAATATCTAATATCCATATCACGTCTATACTGCGAAACTTTTTCCGCAAAATAGACTATCGCAAATACATTACGGTGAATAGATATTTTCACGAATGCATTACTGATAATGTATTTACAGCGAGAAAGCGAATGCATTACAAAATATTATAACGAATGCATTAGAGCGAAGGTATTAAGCGAATGTGCATTGAAAAGAATATATTAGAGCGAAAACATTACAGCTAATGCATTATAGCTAATGCAATATAGCAAAAATAATATCGATGCATTACAGGAAAATTAATACCGCGAATGTATTATAGTGAATGCATTATCGGGATTGATGCAATAGTGATTTATTTATATATGACAGATGGTTAATCTAATTAATAAAAATAAAGTATGAAATTTTTTTATTATTTGTATATTTTTTCTACTTTATAATAAGACGCTCATAAATATTTGAAGGGATAAAATCGATTACAAATTTTTTTTATAGATCTAAAAGATTACCAATATATATATAATGCGATGAAATCTGTAATGAAAATTTTTTTTACAAATTTGAAATGGCCATCAATATATTTGAAGTTATGAAATCTATAAAGAATGATTTTTTTTTACAAATCTAAAATAACCGCTATATATTTGAAGTGATAAATATAATAATTTCTTTACAAATCTAATATGGTCGCCAATATATTTGAAGAGATGAATTTATAAAATAAATTTTTTAAATTATAAAATCATAATAATATTTATTTAATCAATTTTTATATAAAATAAAAGGATAATGTTTAAAAAATTCAAATTATTTATATATTGTTTTCAAATTTGTGGTATTGAAGATTGAGTTAAGGCACGAATTTGATAGCTTATTAATTAAAACCAAAGTAAATAATAATATGTTATATCTTTCTATATATATTCATATTATATAATATAATTATTTGCATAATCATACTCCTCGAATTCTAAAAATTATTACATAGATCTTTGTTATACCATAAATATTAAAATTTATATAAAAAAAACTATTTTAAAACACATATATACCAGTGACGAAGCGTCCATAGAAGCAAGGGAATCATTGCTTCCTTGAAATTTTTCTTACAAAATTTTTAAATACACTTAATAAATCTTTGTACTATGCTAAATAAACTAAACTGACTTCGTTAAAAAAATTAATATAATTTTTATAACGTTAAAAATATTAATATAATTTTTATAACGTTAAAAAGATTAATATAATTTTTATAACGTTAAAAAGATTAATATAATTTTTATAACGTTAAAAAGATTAATATAATTTTTATAACGTTAAAAAGATTAATATAATTTTTTTAACGTTAAAAAGATTATATAATTTTTATAACGTTAAAAAATTAATATTATTTTTATAACGTTAAAAAATTAATATTATTTTTACTATATTAAGAAATACTATTATTTTTACTATGTTAAAAAAGTTACTATTATTTTTACTACGTTAAAAAATTTACTATTATTTTTACTACGTTAAAAAAATATACATGAGGGCAGCAAATTTAATATTGATAATTTTTTTTAATAAATAATTATTAAAAAATGTTAAAAAAGCAAATAAGCTAAAATGGCTGTCAAAATGGCCCCTATAAGTTTGAAGTGAGAGATTTATAATGGAATTGTTACATGGTAACCAAAATATTGCAATCTATCCATTCCACAATTACATAAGTTTCATAAATAGCTGGGTTTATATTAGATCTAGGAGTCTCTATTAATTTTATTCATTATAAAAAATCTTATATCAGTAAGTTGGGTAATTTTTATTTAAGATGTGTTTTATTTTGAGAAGTATGTGAAACTAATGTTGATAAATAGGTAACTAATAATCTCATATTTTAGCTTTAAGTTTCAGTCATATACCTCTTATATATTAATATTACAAATTCAACTCCATTTTCCATTTTCATAACATTAAATTATTTATTAAAATTAAAATAAAAAAAATTCTTATAATGACTTTTGCAAATATATTAAATCTTATAATATATTATAATTATATATCAAATAATGAATTAATGTGAAGTCATATTTTCATAGTAAAAAATAATATATAATAACAAACATTTATACTCTACACATATAATTTCATTAAATAACACAAATGAAGAAAATATAATCTTTAATATCAATATTAAATGTAAATAATATTTTATAATATTAAATACAAAAGAATTCTATAAATATTAAATGCAAAACAATTTTATAAATATTAATTGCAAAACAATTTTATAAATATCAGATGTAAAACAATTACATCATTCATAAAAGGTAGGGTGAGCCTGATTGACCAAATAATACACATGATAAACTAGACAAAATCATTTAGAAACTAATTGTAATAGTTTGTTCACTTCTTTAAAGAACATTATAAAATAAAAATTCATATTTTACTTAATATCTTTTTTTATCCTAAGAGGTATAATTAGTTATTGCCAACAGTTATTGATAAAAAAATATTTGAAGGAATTATTTCCAAAAATTCTTAAAATATAATATTTACAAATTATAAATTGAGTAATAAGCTTAAGATATTTGAGCATACAAATTTTAAGCTTAAGCGAAATTTAGCGAAAAGTTAAGCGACAAAATACTAATTATAACTTAAAAATAGTAAAGGCGGTACGATACGAATTTTACTATTAAAAAATAAGCATTGCGGAAGCAAATAAAAAAATGCTTAAATTTTTTTATATAATATTTTTTTCCTTACTTTTTTAATAAAATAAAAAATTTTTCGTTTTTAAAATCCTTAATTAATGTTTAATAATTATAATTGTATTATTGAAAATTTATTAACATTATCATTTAGCTCAAGAAATTTTGATGCGAAAAAATTAATTATTGAAAAAGTAAGACCAAAACCAATTTTACAAAACTTTAAAAGAAATCAAAACTTGCATCTGTAATTATTCTATCGATAAATATGAAAAATATGAATCGCTCACTGGATGTGAATTTTCTAATTCTCTATATTGTTGGTCATGCCTATTATTCCCAAAGGAAAAATATGCTTGGAATGATAAAGGATTTTCGGATATCAATAATTTTTCAAAGGCAGTTAAACGGCAAAGAAACAACCGCTCATTTGCAGTCGATGATTAAATTATAAACATTTGGCCAAAATCGTATTGAAAATATGATAGATTCGATGCGCAATATCAATCGAACAGCATAATTCTAAAGTCAAATCAAACAGAGAAATATTGAAAATATTGATCTCTATATGTTTTCTTGGAATTCAGAAGCTCGTATTCCGTGGTGATGATGAATCTTCTAATTCAGTAAATAGAGGAAATTATATTGAATTAATTTATTTGTACACGGAAGAAAATTTACTATTGAAACTTCATTTAGAAATAGTGCAGTTTTTATTGGACTATCAAGCAATATTCAAAATGATTTGATTAATTCTATTTCATATATCTTACCCCAAAATATATTAAATTCGTCGAATTGTTAGATATTAGTAAATTCCAAATAACCAAAATTTCCCAAAATATTTATTATATAATTTAAACGACACTTATTCTCAATTTTTTGACTTATACAAGCTGGAAACCAATTAAAGGTAGTGTTTCCGGATGTTTAATTTAGAAAGAAAAAAAATGTTAATGAAATACTTGAATTTTTATATGCACCGATTTGATGAGTTTTAAAGAGTTTTTTAAATTATGCTAATTCATCTTAACTTTTACTTTAACAACAGCAAGTGCAGAAAGGAGTTTTTTATCTTTAAAAAGAATCAAAATTTATAGCAGAAACAGGATGCGCCAAAATCTATTATCAAATCTATCTTTGATTTCGATTGAAAAAAAATTATTAAAAAATTTAAAATCTAGCGATAACTTTTATAATGCAGTACTATTTCATTTCACTCAAAAACAAAGACGAATACCACTTATTTATAAATCTTAATTATGTTTGAGTTTGACTAAAATAAATTTATTTTTTTGATTGCTTCCCTAATAGTAAACTTGACGCTTCGTCACTGATATATACATATATAAAAAAAATAACTACAGACAAAATATTTATAACTTCCTTAATTATTCGAATATATATAAACAATAAATAATTGAATATAAAAAATCTATTACTATCAAATTATTCTTTCAACCAATCACAATACCCCACTACTTGAAATTGATCTACATATCATCTTTATAAAAGATTTACTTGGTAAGTCTTCTTCTTCTTGCAAAGGCATTAAAGAGTTATTATTAATCAAATAATGTTGGACATAACCTCATTACATAATTCCCTCCACACGACCAACAAATTATCTTTCTCCTCTTTCCAAGATCCGACTCCAATCTTTTGTTCGCAAAAGCCTATCTTGTCGGTTCTTATCATCTCCCCTTATCTTTATTAAGCTTCATTCTCGAGCCACATTCATCCAATTTCTAGACTCCTCCGATCCATCTATTTCTCTAATCTCTATTTTGATTATCTTGTTTCCTATTCGAAAATAGGAGGCCATTTACAACAGAATTAAACTATATATATTCTCTCTCCTTGCTTCTATAATCTTACCCAATATATATTGTTAGACATTAAACCATTATGACTCTCATAATTTTAACACAATTTCCTATGAAATTTTGTTTTTCATAAATATAACTCAGCCAATTATGTCTATCATCAATTTTAAGACCTATAAATTATGATTCTCATAATTCTGGCCCAACTTGTTTATCATTAAATTCCAACATGCTTAATTATATTATATCTATCATCAATTTTTAAACACATAAAATTATGATTCTCATAAAATTATGATTCTCTTAATTCTCAATTGTTAAAAAACAAATCAATTATGTCTATCATCATTTTAA